CAGATGCCTTTCCCACACATCTAAGATAATGTTTTGCTACTTTATAGTGTTCTGTAATTTGTTAAATTTTACCAAACTGCATGTTTAAGGGTTTGGTTGATTATGCTGCTGAATGACAGAAGGAATAGACCCACTTAAGACAGCAATATTAAAAATGAAACCCTTTCTCTTAAAGTTTTAAGTTTTCCATTACACCTTGCGGAAAGCTTGCTAGTAGGCATGAGTTTAGCAATCCATGCCCTTGGGGTTCAATTATACCCTAGCCTTGATGCAGGTTTAGTGTAAGAACGCAAGCAATTTTATTCACATCAAAGGAAAACTTCCCTAGCAGTGCTCACATATGGCAAAGCAAGATGATATGGATACTCACAGTATCATTTCAGTTTTGTATGGACTGATCACAGATATCAGTTTATAAGAGCTATCACTCCACCCTACATCCTCAAAAACCCCACTGACAAATCCAGTGTATGTTAGACAGAACTGCAGCTTTATGGTGCCCTATAGCAACTATTCAGATAGAATGATGATATCTAAGCACAACTGTACAAAGTTTTCACTAGGTGAACAAATGGGAATAATTCTTATGGAAGGGCAACTACTGCAGGAATAAGTGGCAAACACAGGAAAAGCTACCAAGAGGGCGATGGATGGTCAGTATCAGATTTTTGTATATGTGGTCCAGGAAATTGGTTTCCAGTGATGGAGTAGGGTCCCCAGCTACTTAGAGTTCTACTCATAGCCAGACAAAGAAGGTAATAAAAGAAGGCATGGAGCTCTGTATGCATGGGGACATGGAATGTGGGGCCACCACACTCTGCCCCTTTCCTCTAGACTTTTAGTCCCACTAATAAAGATGAGTGCAGCTAATATTTTAATAGCATGCAATTGCTTGCAATTGATAAGTTTTTGGGCAAACATTTGGCAAGTATCTTGGTAACTCCCTAGATGAAGAAAAAATCAGGATAATGTTAGATGTGAATTATTGCTCGTTATATGTCAATAAAGAAATTCTTGAGTAATTGGTTTCTACAGAAAGTAGCTTTTCTTAGCTGTGGTCAAGTATCTGTAAAATGATGTATCTTAACCACATCTATTCAGTTAATGCCCTGAGCTCTACTTGAATAGAAAAATGACTATGACAATGGAAAGTAGGTTGCAGGACCTCATTATTTTCAGAGTGATATTTTGGAGTCATATTAGTTCCTTCCTTAAAGTCAAGGATTTTTCCTTCCAAACATAGCCATTTTAATAATAAAAATGCTGAAATAAATAGTATTGTCCACTGGCACACCAAGATGAGAGTTAAATATAAGATGCTCTGTACAGTTTTCTCTCCATTTAGTAATGTTTGATTCCAACAGACTTTAATCACAGACTTTAGGTTGGTAAGCAGTGGACTGACAGGTTCCAATAGCAATTGCTTATTACAAACATTCAGAAAACAAGAGGAAAGTACTTCCTTTCTACCCCTTCCCGGTCCTGCACCTTCACCGTACCTCTGAAAGTTATTCTGGTTTCTTGCAACTTGAGAGAACTTATTGTTATGAGATCTACTAGCATTTTCAACCCAGTCACCAAACACAGGGTGACCAGGCGCCACCAAATAAAAATCCTGTGATAACTGAGTGTACCAACTGAGTATATCCAAACTATCCAGCCAACAAATCACGAAGTTATAAAATATGCATTAAATGTCTAAAGTTAAATATTATATATGTTTTGGAAAATATATACTGAATTCAACCAGATAGTTGTACTTTACTTTTTCAAAACCCTGTCCTTATGTCTGCCCCACTAGAGAATGACCATAGTAATACATAATCACATTCAAAATAAAGCTACCTCATTCTGCATGCCGCCCCCGCCCCACAGAACTTCTTTCTGATTGACAGTTTGGAGAATTCACCCTTTTTGCCTCTTCTTCTGGAAACTGGAAAAAAAAAAAAAATAGAAGTGGCTTAGAAACCAGCATCCACTGATTCTGTGCCAACAAATGGCAGGTATTTCAGTTGCATTTGATCTGTTTCAGTTGATCTCTTTGCATGTTTTCTTCTCTACATTGTCAAGTTTATATTAAAACTTTGTGACAAAAAACTTAAATCTCTCTGAACTTTATTTGCCAGCACTGTATCCTGTAGTATTCAGGGATCTCTGATACAAAGGTTCAGAACTTTCTCAAGTATCTGAAGACCTTATACCCACCAGTCTCTTGGCCAATTCCTACCTGGAATCTGTCCACAGTAATGACTACACTGGTGCTCAAACCATTCAGCTCCCTTTCCATGTCATGCCTTAGAGTACTCATCCTTGAAGTGCTCTTCCTTTCCACCATAACATCTGAATGGCAAGCAACTGAACTCCCAGTTGATAGGTTTGATCTTCTTTTCACCATTCTGTATAAGGTGAAGGCAGTACTCAGACCAAACTGAACCTTTCTGCCTAAGATTGTGTTGTCTTTTCATTTGAATCACCATATTACACATTCTGTCTGTGTTCATGCAATGTGACTACATTTTGATCTGGCATAGTCACTGTGCCATCCTCAAAGAAACTAGGAATAAAGGTAGGAACACTCCTCTACATATACACAGTGGGGTATATGTGTCCTCCTGCCTAAATGAATGTGGAGGTAACCATTCAGAGGACTACAGTTGCAAGTAAGCAATCCATCATTTTATGCCTGTAAAATATTTATTGCACTTTTATATCGCCCAAAACTGAAACTCTCAGAGTTAACAAATGTTAGTATAGGTTTTTGAAAGGGGAACTTAACTTCCTGTGCCACTGTGGCAGCCCTCAAACAAAAACATTGGTTTTCCTCCTGTTGCACTGAAGCAGTATTTGCTGTTGAATGGTTTTGCCCAATAGACAACAGAAGACACAAAAAGCAGTATGTCCTAGCTGATTCAATGATATTTTCAATTCATTGTTCAAACACAAACAGGGCTTTCTACTTAATTCCCTCTGAAATCATCTACTTGCCTTTCTGTGGAACTGCATCTGGGCCGTAGTCCCAGTGCCACTTCAGCTGCAGCAAGATATTCTAAACATTTTGGTAAGAATAATGAGAGTTCTTTCATTTTCCTTTTTAAAGTAGCTTTGTTTTATGCATCTGAAATAATTCTCTACTTTTCCTGAAACTCAGTTTTGAACTTTTCATTAATCCCTGACATATTGGTGTATGCTCTTTTCTGTTAAAGCTTTCTTTGGTTGCAAGTTCATAACCACAAATTTAATTTAATTTTCATTTAAAGGAGCTAAAAGCAGTAAGATGAGCACAGCAGATTATTTTAGAGCTGAGTTGAAGTGTCACGCATTTTCAGTGGCCCCATTTTCTATCCATTAAACTGGAAAGATTTATGTTTATGCAACTAGTTTTGGAGGTGGGGCAGTGAAGGTCAAGGTAATTATGAGTGATTGTGCTTACCTTTTCAGTGCCATGTAGCATAAGAATTTTCTGCCATTTTTCTTTACCATATTGCGACTGAGGCAAGTGGCAGCATTTCAGTTCTGCTCTGAAGCTATTCTTTTTCCATCAGGCCACACGATGTCTCTGTGGAAGAATGCCATGTCACAAGATAGCATCATCCTACAGCCGTCATTCTGGTGGAGAATGGCTACTCCACAAGGGTAGCAAGAGCAGCTATTCCACATTCTCTACAACAGTTGTGCTCCTGGTAGAATGCTAAGCCATGTCATTCTTTCCCCAGTGATGCTGTTCAAGGAATAGTCCCAGAGTAGACCAGGAGTGTTGTCAACACTTGCTGCTATGGCAAAGCGATGGCTGCCCACATACCAAATTAACTCTCATCAGCAAAAATAAACTGATGCTATTCTGCCCCTCTGCAATTGCACTCCAGAATTATGACTAAACTACAAATGAAATGTTTGGTATTGTTATTGAAACTTTAGAATGAAATAAGTAGGTTTAGTCATTCCTATAATCCTAGCAGGGACATTTTTGGCCTTCCAGATGTTGCACTGTAATCTCCATTACCTTTCACCATCGGTTAAGAAGGCTAGGTCTGATGTAAGTCACTGTACAAGTATAGCCAAAAGAGCATAGTTTTCCCATCTCTGCTATAAAGGAGCAATCAGACTGAGTGTGCACTCCGAGTTAAGCGTGCAAAGGTAGCATAATCTCAGCAGAAGTAGCTGGAGCAGGGATCTCTGAAAGTGGCTTAGAATGTGCTGGAAAAGTTCTGACTGCAACATGTGGCACAGCCTGATTTTCTTCTGAAATATATTTCCTTTTCAAAGTACAAATTTCCACTTGAATTTTTAAAAGGAGTTGGAGCCAAACACTGCTGACCTGTGGCACACAAATAGTCTGGTGTGTATAGGAGCAACAAGGTGAAAACTTCATGAAATGCTTACATGGGCAGTGCTTTACCTGTGGCCTGAGCTTCTCCTTAGTCATGGCAACCTACAGAAAAGGATTGATTAAAGTGCAGTAATCTGTGTTTATTATAATAGGTGAATTAATTTTTCCACAGCAGCACGAATGAGGTTCATTTCAGTGAGATGCTTATGTTAAGGAATGCTTAGAGCTTTCTCATCAGCTTAGCTTCCTTCAGGCCTTTTCATTAAACCCTCGGCTTATCAGTTATTTTTGTGCACCAATTATATAGTTAAGGAAGTTACATCTGCATGCATTCCACCATTCTAGACATTCTTAAACTGAAAAGGCTTTATTTCTACTCTAAATATGTTATGAAAGTGAAATTATTCATATTAAGAACACCTGAGGATCTTGAGGCTATGGTTCAATTTCTTAACCATATGACACATTCCTTCACTTTGCTCCTGCTGTTTGTGAAATGGATTGCATAGAAGAAAACATGAGGAGCTTTTAGCTGAGGGCATTAAGCAGTAGCTATGGTACAGCTGTTGTGCAGACAGGAAGTTGGTCAGAGGTAGACAGCCAAACACATTTTATCATCCCTGCAACCTACGTCACCTCAATCCTTATGTTTGTGGGGCTGGCATTATGAGTTATGGCTGAAACTCATTTGGGTCTTCAGCAGTTTGAAAATGATGGACGTAATGTACCTGTCACAGGCTCAGCAGTTAAAATTGCACTCAGTCCTCGGCTTCCTTTTAAATGGTTCTCATCAACATAATTATTACACAGTTTTATTACAGTAATAAAGTAACTCCAAGGGGGAATCTACTGGGGAAGTAATTGTGGGAGCCAAGGCACTGCATTGGCACATTCCCTTTGGCAGCATCGCTATGTTTGCATACCTCATGGTGTACTTCTGTTCTTCATTGTACTGATATAGGACTTATTACTCCTCATATTGCTGAGGTAGTTTAAGGAAAACAATCAAATACCTAGAAGCACATGTAATGGTTTGAATAGCAGCGTAAAAAAGGATGACCCACTAGACATTTTGTCCTACTTTCATTTTTTAAAGTGTCAATTTTTTATTCCATTTTTTACAGACAGTGCCATAAGCACTTTTCTGTTCTGGAATGGAAGAGGCTTTTTAAAAAGAGTCGTAGGTACCAGGACCAATTAATTTTCATGCTCCTCCTTTAGCCAACTAGTTTTAAAACAGTTTTTATAAAACTTATAAGAATCTACTGAAAAGAGCAAAAGAAAGAACAATCTAACATGAATGGCACCCTGCTGGCCAAGTTGGATGGTTGCTGGAATCTAGGTGGGCAAAAGTGTACTTCATTGATAATTTTTTGTTAGTTCTCCCTGTGGCACAAGAACATGGGGTTACCACTGTAAAGAGCAGTGGCATTATATGATTTAATCACAAACAGTTCATTATGCGATTCAGATGTGAAGTATGAAAATATCTACTCTGGAAGGCGCTAAACTGAGTGTTCTACCACAGTTGCGTCCTTTATTATGTACACCTACCTGGTACAGCTGCAGAAATGACAAGAAGACTGTTTATGTCCTGTATTATACCCAGGATTTCCACAGAGACTGGTGATTTTAGATGGCTGAAACTCTCCTGAATTATCCTGTTCATGATATGCTGTTGTGAGTATCGGGAATTATATTTCCCATGTTCTCTGACACCTGGGATGTTGTGGTGCAAGCATGTACCAGAAGTTACAGTAGCCGCTACCACATGAGTCCATCTTTGACCTCGTCATGCTGCAACATTGACTCTTGCCCAATTTCTAGGATTTTTCTCTCAAGAGAAAAGTATAATAGCAATAATAAGTTTGCTTATGCAAACTTTCTAAGCTCCCATCCCCTATCCTATTTCTGTTCTCCCAATCATCTTGTCTTCTGACCTGTTATCTAGACTGTATGTTTTGTACTCTTCATTACTACCAATGGTCTCTCACTATGACTCCTGTCACAGTAGTGTCACTGCTCACTGCTGTCTGTTCAAACATGAATGCTGCCCTCTCAGTGAGTGAACCACACTCTTAGATATTGGGTTGCATGGTCACCATCACAGCCACAGATGTTTTAGAGACTGCATTTTTCCCAGCCTCCTCCTGTTGCACTTCAAAGCCACTATGCTTGCAAAACAATTGTACAGAATAAATCATTGGGGCAGCAAAGCAGCTTTCCCCCAGAAAGGGGGCAATCAGGCATTCCTGATCTTGCCAGGTCGATTGTTTTCATCACCATGGTTATAATTCATAGATTAAAAAATGGGTCAGTACTAGGAAGATTCATTTTTACCTATCTTAACCAGTTCTGCATCACTGTTACTAAGACACCACCCAATTTATTCACTTGCAGGGACAAAAAATTATCTTAGAACTTACCACAGTTATTTATAATCCGTATTTGAAATGGGACCCAATTCTCAGCTTTTGTTCAACTGTTGACCAGTTGAACTGGTATATAATATGCTGGAACCTTCTGTATGAATATGGACATCACCTTTCAGCAAGATATCTTGGAACTGTAAAGCAAACAAAGATTGAGTTACAATTGTGGCATGTGTATGGCTTTAGAACAACTCTTAAGTGCTGTGAAGGAAACTTGGGAACTGTTGCCGGATATGCTGCTACCAGAATGACTGCTGGTTTTGCACTTGATGTAAATCCTGTTCTAGTTTTCTAAATCAAATAGGGAAAAGACGTGAGGATAAGAAGTACTTCAACACTACCTCTCTCCTTTGTTGGGTTTTTTGCCATCAGCTCGTGGAGGGGGACCAACTGAAGAGGACAGCCTTGCTCACAAGAGTTATTCCTCACATAAAGACCCTCTGTGGATAGCAGATGTATTCATCTTCAGAATGTCATTTTCCATGAATTGAGGATGACAGATGCTACAAAGTAGAGGGACAAATGGCTATGGGCAGGTTCTTCTACTCATGCATTTCTCCTGTTCAGGTTTAGAGTTGTCGCTTCACTCTTTGATGAAACACATGGAATGGTAGTAACAATTCATTCCTAAAGAAAATAAAGAAGCTAAGTTTTCACAGAACTATTGCCTATTTATCACTAAATAATTGGATTGTGCCAGAACATCTTGGGTGTCCTCCTCCTCCTCCTCCTTTTTAACTACAGAATTTATTGTAAATTTGACCAAGTGGCTAGCTTTCTAGTGCAAAAGAAGAGATTGCCAAAATGGATAACAAAAGAACTAAAGTCAGAATACTATCCATTAAGGAAATGTGGCTTAATGTTAAGAAGTTGATTCTAAACTACCCCTTTACCCTTCTAAACTTAAAAGAACAAGGTTGGTCCTCCTGTTGTAGGACCAGTCCCTTTTCAAATGGAGCACCCTCTGAATTTGACACAAAATCCTTGGACTCATGGTGTGAATCTCTCAATCTCCCCCCACTCCATTAGTATGCTTACTAAACCTCACAGAACTGGAAATTGTCTGATTCTTAGCAAATGTGTGGCTTATATCCAGGTCTACTGAATTTAACATTTCAGCTGCAGTTCTGGTCCCACCTCTTTTTCTGACTCAGAATCTGATTCAACAACCTTTGAAGGCTCATTTATAGGCAGAGTGGGCCATGTCTTCCTTGGGCTTTTTTCAAGGAAGATACTTGCTCTTTCTTACCCCACCAGATGTTAGATCCACCTTAGCCTAGTGGCTAATCTAGCTATGCATTTAACCACAAGTTCGATAGAAATATTCATGACTGAGAAAGCCTAGTGATAAATGGAGACTTATTTCAGAAGAATCTGACCTCTGTCTCTGTAGATCATAGTCTCTTGAAAGCTAAAGCAAATACCACAGAATGGGAATAGAAATGGGTGAAGCAATACCATATGGTTGTAGGGCTGCTGTTATGTTGTATCATACTATGTAAGTACATTTTGGGGCAAAAGACTCCTTATTCCACCAACAATGAACAACATTTCTGGACTATTTAATTTTCTCTCTCTGGGAGAACATGTTTAAAATATTTGTAAGATTAGGCCTTCCAGGGTTTCCTCAGAAATGAAGATAATGTGTGACTATTTCAAGCCACACTCGTATCTTCTGAGGAGAGCCTGGAACAGAAGATATAAGATATCTTAATATATCTGGATATCCTTCTTGGTAGAGGTATCCTAGCTAGAGTAATTTGGGTAATTAACTGATGGCACAAATTTCTTTGTCGCAAGTACAAATCTACAAGGGCAAAAAGTGCAATTAATTGTTGAGTTATATTTACACTAATATTCTTAGGGGAAAATTATGACACAGGGTAACTATGCTTACAAGCATTACCATTGACTTGTACTATCTTTAGAATTCTGAAACCAGTAGCAATCACACTTTGGGTTATGCATATTTAAAAAGAAAGAACACCTACAGTTTGATATTTTACAACATTACTAAATTGGAAAAAGAGAGTATGAGAAGTTTTCATCTTCTATAACTCCTAATGATCCATGAACTTGCATCTGAAGCCACAGTATTACACCATATGCTCATGTACAGGGAATAAAGTGCTTGTAATTGGATTCTCACTACACATTTTTGCTATTAGATCACACATTCGGAATGGTGTTTCAATTTTCACTAACCTAACATGAACTGGAATTTTAAGTTACACATGCGGGAAAATACTTTTCTGTATCATGGGAAATGATGCACAATCTCACTGCTGGCTTCAATTTCTCAAGGAAAGAGAGACTTCTGACATAGGAAATTATCTGGCGATGTGCAAAATATTTCCTATTATTTTACAGATTGCTCCAGTTTACTTGAAAGTGACATTCTTGTTCAGCTTATTGATTTGCAAAAGCTGGTCTAATTTTTCAAATTGTTGCACTGCATGCAAGTTCAGATTTTTTAGCCTTACTGTTATTTTCTGCAATTTGAAAAGCACAAGGTTCTAACTTCAAGTGTGCATCACTTTTGTTTGGAAGCTGAATGAATAGTCACATGTTATAGTTCACTGTTCTGTCCAGTTATTTAATCCCCCTTCTTCAGAGTGTTTACTGGCTTATTATTGCTCCTCTAGCTTCCCATGCAGACTATAGACATTTTTCTCTAACTATATTAATTTTTGCATGCATTGCTTCAAACCAGAACTGTATCAAACATTGAAAAAACTGAGCAATCCAAAAGATACCTACATTCCAGTATGAATATTAGTTGGGAAAATAAGCGAATTGTCTCTCATCTCTAATTTTAAACCATTTTATTTCCTCCCTGGCTGCATTGAATCTTGGGGGTTTTTTAGGTTTTTGAAAAAGTAGGTTTACCTTTTATTAATGATAATTAATGGACAATTTTCAGAGGAGAAAGGATTCTGTTTTTAAAAAGCAGACAGTACCTGTCTTAGCAGGATGCTCTATGAATTGATCAATATGGTTTTAGTTTCCTTATGTTTCAAGTGAACTCAAAATCATGCATCTCACACCCAGTGGTTGGTTGGCTGGTTGTTTTCCACTCCTACAGCGATAGGTGAAAGAAGTTTCAAATGTCTTAACCATCTGAACAAAGGCATTTAAACAGTGAAACATGGCCAAAATTAGCTTGATGGTCAGGGCTTTAGATTACCAGTGATTTGTTGGCAGCCACAGTTGGCTAGGGACAATTACGAAGTTCAAACTCAGCAGAACAATGCCTTGTGATGGACGAAGGGCAAGGGTCTATTTTT